GAACTACTTTGCGGCAGCTTACACCGACGAAGGGGTTCTTTTGGAAACCCTAACCGGGAGCTTCAACTCAAAAGTCTGACCCACAAGGCAGTGGGGCATAGATTCAACGCGGGAGAGCGACCGAAGCACCCGTGTGAAAACTTCTGGAGACCTTCGACGTAAGGCCTTCGATTTTCGGTCAAGTATTTTGTTCGATGGTGCGTTGATTGGCAGATCGCTTTTCGGGATCGGCCCTTAGCTTCATGCACCCAATGAGACAAGCGGAACGTGAACGAGACAGCACTTTATTGGCTGGGGGCTGCCCAGCTTGGGCGGGCGGCAGCCCCAGGCACCTCGCCTTTACATCCATCTAGTGGGGATATTTCAAACCGGTAAACTGCCTGTCCTCGTGTTTATTTTCTGAAGTGACCTCTCTAGGGGCGAGAGTGGGAAGTCAATGGAAGCCAAGCGGTGCCCACTCAGGTGGCTTTGTGAGCCTTAGCTTCATCTGGCCTCTACTCATTGACCTTTCATGATTGAATCTGCGGCTGTGAGAAGCCATTATGCATAGGTCGCGTGGTCATGGAAGAGGGCAAGCAATTACAACACGTGAAGGTGTAATTTTGTCTAGCCAAAACCTGACCTGCTATTTAGCGAGGCGGTATTTGGAAACTGCAATCCTGACCGGCGTTCCTTTCCCGGAATCACACGCACACCCATATAACAAAAATACTACAACGAAATCTGCAATATATTTTTATGATAGCAGTACACCGTCGTGGTCTGCTATTACTATAAAAAAAGAAACCTAGAGTTTTCCAGTTGATAGAATAGTATTCGTGTGTGTGTGTGGGGGGGGGGGAATTAGTTGGATAGCGATCGGTGAAGTTCGCTTCACCGTATTTAACTTTACGATGATGATGATGACGATGGCAAGAAAAACAACATACATTTTTCTGCAAAAATTTCAAAATTGATGCAGGGAAAAAATAGTTTACATTGAATCTGTGCTATCTATTCCATAAATATGCTTGCTTGTTACAAACTCACTTTTTATTGTTGATTTATATACATTCCACATTTACATTTATATACAAATTCAACTGTATTTTCTTCCATCTGTGCCATGCTTTGTTAGACAGTGTCTGAATCCAGTTCAAAACACCTCGTAATGACATTCCAGAAATGCTCCCATGGAGTACATCTTGTATATAGTATCCGGTTGATGGGCTAACTCATATGAGAGCTGGAAAGCAGATTTCAAACCTTCCAAGAAGAGGGGTACAAACCGGTTACAGGATATTCTGGTCACGACTGTCTCCGGCTTGATTGGCTGATAGGGTTTACTGGGTACATTGGATGTGTAAAGCGTGCTAAAATAACATACAGATCGACGGATTGGACACCGAATTCCAATCGGACGCGATTTTCACACCACCTCTGTCATGCCGGTCAGGTTTTGACTGTCAGAAGGCCCTGGTTGTGGGGATCCTAACAATATTTCGCCCGCGGGCAAATCATGGGCCGCATTAGATGTTACCTTGATTTGCACAGACATTTTTTGGCGCACAGCATGAATACAGGTAATGTTGAAATATATTTGAAACACATACAACATCAAATCTATCAAACAGACCAAAAATAAGATAAGTACATGCATTGGCCTCACCAGACCTCTAAACTCCTAGACCCATCATATGATTACGATCAGCCTCAAAGGATTTGATGCTAGCTGTGGCACTCTGTGCTTGTGCCCTGGTCGCCTGCTGCATGTACAGTATATTGGAGAGACAACCCAGTCTTGTGTTCACTGTGACCAAACGTATAATTTCTAAAGGGAGTTGCATGGTATCTCTGTGATACCGGAAGAGAAAAGTGTTACCTCAGGGATGCTGTGTAGTCTTTGGAAGGGATTCCGTATTGTGTTATTTACCATTTTAAAATATATAACAACTATTTGGATGTTAGTAGACACTAAGAACACTAAAATAACTGCCAGTCGTAGTTGAGGGGAGATGACGGGATCCCAAAGTTCCCGAACGCAGTTGGCGGATAAAAAAGTGCGCACTCATTCGATAGTAGGTTAAGCCACTAGAAATGGTTTATATGCACGGGCAAAGTGTGCATCTTACTGTGTGTGTGTTTCTGAGTCATTATACATTGTGACAGCGATTATCGAACCTTGCTTTGTCAACCATCCTTATAGAGTGATGACAACGTATATCGGGGTCTGTGGAGGCCAGACACTTGCATTAGATCATCAATATGAACATTATTGTTTTACACCTAACTCTTTGTCTGATTCGCACGATGGGGTCAAAATGATAAAAATGGTATTCAAACATTGAAAAACTTCATTTTCCCCTCATTCTCACGGACCCGGGTTGTCTGGCGGTCGTAAACGATAACCGATAACGGATAGGCAAATATCGCGGGAAGGCTACAGACGTCAGTGGCTTGCAGAATTTTACTAGGCACTTATGTGGAACAGTTTGAGTGGATAGCAACTCATTTTTCACACACTGTACAAAGACAGCTTCATACAATAGCGGGAACGGCGATCCACATAATCTGGATGAGTTTTACCAACGAATCACCTCGAAATAGAAACATAAAAACTAGGATACTCCAAAACGAAATTGACATTTGTGTCACCATTTTACTGGCGAAAAAGCACGGTATCTTTAAATATGTCCGATCGTTGAACTCTATTGCCTTAAACTCTAAGATGTCACGCCACTACACGAACGACAAATTAATGCTGGAATATCTTCATTTGGCACGGGTATATCTTAGACTGCAACACGGGCATAGTGTGCAACACTGATAAGTCTGCAAGGTCAGTACCGAACTGGGAAGCTCTTNCTTTATTGGAGAACGATAGTGGTAGGGGGTGAATCCGGTGATACAGAACAAAACATTTAACCTGCAACGGTTTAATGAAACTCTTTATTGATGGTCAATCAGTTTCAGTTGTTCACACATTCTGATTCTACAACATTAAATCCACTAATCTGGTGCTGGATGTCCCATTCGTTTTCGAATACCATGAGAATCAGATAACTGCTTTTTCGTACTACTCATATAATATTAGTGGTACCGCACAACATATGGATGTCTTTGATCAAACAAAGAAACAATCCTGATGGCAAAACCTAGGGGAGGCGTTCGTAAACGATAAATGTACGCAAGGTGCATGGTGAAGAATATTCACTTAAAGTTCCCGTGCATACATCACATGTCAACGATGAAAATCATACCTCGTCGGTGAGCGAGTAAACAGATAGTTTTGAGACCGGGCGTTTGGTAACCTCTAGAGCACAGATATAGTGTGAATACGAGTTGAATCGACCGACTCATTTTAAAAGAGGCGAGCACGAACGCAGACGAAGCACACTGCCGACACACAGACACGCAAGCAGATACCCATGTGTACACATGAGTCGCTGTCAAACACAGCCGTACACGGAACAAACCGAGAGGAATTCACACAGTCCTATGATCACTCACACCAAAACACACACATGCACACGTACGCAATTGTATGCCTGACCCCTAGAAAAACAAAGTCCAGGCACAATAATCTTACTGCTGACGACGGTGCAAATATCCGCAGGCGTATAATCAATAACGTGCAACATGTCACCATAATATTTGATGTTACAGCCAATCAATCGGAATGAAACTATTTCGGAGTGGGTGTATTCATCATTCATGATCCGCACTATCCAGCCAGTTAAACGAGTGTGCAAAAAAAGAACCACCTGTCAACATTCCGATAAAGTTCTATAGTATACAGTTTCCTGACCACGAAACAACTTAGATTGGTTATTACTTTTTCGGAATCTAAACTAATTCAAAATTAATTTCAAAGGAAAATAGGTGAAGTAGAGTCTAATCAAGTGCATCGATAGTCTAAATTTATCCTGTTTTCCTAATGCTCAAGTCTCTGCATTGCAAAGCAGTACTGGTCGAACTGGGGCAACATACACGAGACGATTTTTCAGATAGCCGGATGTCGCGACGGCGCCGAAAACGATTACACTAACATTTAAACTATTCAGAAACGATTTCAAATTACCTGGATTCTTATCTAGCCGCACAATGTCCTCTGTATACTCCGGATCAGATGGTCTATCACCTAGGAGCAAATCGGTGCCGTTGACTTTGCACGAGGATAGGGCTGTTTCAAGAATCGAATATATGACAACGTTAGACAGAAAGGGAGAGAGGGCAACCCCGAAAACCCTATATTTCGTAGTAAACTCGGACGAAAAGGTGCCGTAAGCTCCGACTCGTCTTCGGCTATTAGTATAGAGAAACCAGAAAATTGAAATCAATTTCTCGGGCACACCCGACAGAGTGAGGCAGCGACAGAGTTTATAGCGGTCGACTGAGTCGGAGGCCATTTTTAAATCCAGTAAGACAGCAATGGTGGGTGACCGTGGCAGGGTTCGAACTTCAGACCTGAAGCACGGAATGGGCAGTAACTTAGACCGCCTAACCACTACTAGGTCAAAAATAGGGATCATCAGCCATCAATTTTGGATACAGTACACTGCGAAATCCCATCAGTTATTCAAGTACGGGCATCTAAAAGCAATATGAGGTTGCTTCAATATGACCAAAAGGGCTATATGAACATTATTAGTAGAGACAGGGGTTGGTATTCATGCAACCAGAAATGCAATCTATGAACTTAAGGAAACCGTGTAAATCAATGTACTGATTCTCGGTCCGCGGAACTTGGAACTTTCTCTCTTTCTCAGTGAGATACACGAAAGGTGGACACCAAATTATTCAATGCAGGGAAGAATTTTTGTACTAACCGCTTTTTGAAGCTATTAGTTATGAAAGGACTTTGCTATATGTTGAACTATAGTCAGTAGCCAACGGGAATTTACCTGCTGTCTGTAAAATGCTTGAACCGGACCTAACTTTGTTGATTATTACTAACTAGAAGGTAATCCGGTGTGTTACGGCTCGACTTTCTTATTACTGAAGAGTCAGTAGAAACTCACCAAGTTAACAGAGGGAGAAGGCGTCAAATTGAAATTGCCGGGCTTAAGGCCATTCGGAGCGTTCGACCATAAAGGGACCGGGTTAGCTGGGGTCATCAAAACGGGTGGGATTGCACTCACACCAACAGCGGTTGGCTTTGGCGCATCAAATCCGGCAAGATGGACCAAACTCGCTGATGACTGAGAAGGGTCGTATGCCACATGTTCGGCTGTGACGAACTCACCAAAATCGTTGTCCAAAAGGCTAGACAAGACCAGAGAAAGAGATTGAAAAATGGTTGACTCAAGACATGAGATTCGAGTAAACCAGTGGTCGTGTATGTGTGTGTGCGTGAGCATCACGGGAACAAACACTAGACAGAAACAGTTGGGAACGTAACACTTACATATTGATGGAATTCGATAAGATTCCAATAGAGTAAAAAAAGATTTCAATCTTCGATGCTATGCTCCTCAGCAGTACACTCCGTGTCAACACTATGTGATAGAGTTCATCTGTCCATTCATCATACAGAGCACTGCTGCACAGTGATAGGTTTCCTTATACAAAATT